ATGGTGAACAAACATGCTTTCTTGTGTTTTCTCTGTTCATCAGAGCACTTTCAGGACTTTCTAAATTCATGGAATTACTACTTGATTTCCTTGAGTATTTATGACTTATCATGCTACCTTTCTGATTGATTGGGGTGAGGAGCTTCAGGTTCGAAAGCTGAATGCAGCCCTCCAGGCCAAGTTCCAGCCTTAGGACCCAACCTAGGCCATGACCCAACCCTAGGGGCATACTCCTCTTTCCTGTGAATACTTTTGCTTGACAGGTATGCGATAGTGCGTCTTGCTTGCACTGAATAGAGAGGCAGGTATGTGTAGAAACCTCTGGCTTTTGTGCGGCTGGTGGAATCCAGCCTTCTTTACAAAGTTAAGTGTCAAAGCCATTATCCTGCCCACCTTGCCTCTACCTGTCTCTTTCCTAGCCCCTGGCATGCAATGCTTGGAAGGTTTGCCCATGAGGGAATGGTACCCAAACATGCAATAACCATTTCCTGCTCTATGATTGAATGGTCATTCCTAGCAAGGAATCCTCTCCACTGCTGTAACCCTTCTCAAATAGCATTACTATTAAAGGTAAAGGGACCCCTGACCATTAGGTCCAGTCGTGACCGACTCTGGGGTTGCGGCGCTCATCTCGCTTTATTGGCCAAAGGAGCCGGCGTACAGCTTCCGGGTCATGTGGCCAGCATGACTAAGCCGCTTCTGGCAAACCAGAGCAGTGCACGGAAACGCCATTTACCTTCCTGCTGGAGCGGTACCTATTTATCTACTTGCACTTTGACGTGCTTTCAAACTGCTAGGTTGGCAGGAGCAGGGACCGAGCAATGGGAGCTCACCCCGTTGCGGGGATTCGAACTGCCGACCTTTTGATTGGCAAGTCCTAGGCTCTGTGGTTTAACCCACAGCACCACCCGCGTCCCTAGCATTACTATTACACATTTATTATTCCCTCCTCCTCAATTGTGTGTGTGAAGGAGAGATCATAATTAGGAATGCAGGGATGGGGGACTGAGACCAAGACAGAGTGGTTTACTTAGAGCCAGCTAGTTAGGACCTCAAAAGAAATTATGAGTAGCTGGTGTGGCATAGTGGCTAAGTTAGGGGGAGTGGGTGGCGCTGTGGTCTAAACCACTGAGCCTCTTGGGCTTGCCAGTCAGAAGGTCGGCAGTTCGAAAACATATGACAGGGTGAGCTCCTGTTGCTCTGTCCCAGGTCCTGCCAACCTAGCAGTTCGAAAGCACACAAGTGCAAGTAGATAAATAGGTACTGCTGCAACAGGAAGGTAAACAGTGTTTCCATGCGCTCTGGCTTCCATCACAGTGTTCCGTTGTGCCAGAAGCAGTTTAGTCTTGCTGGCCACATGACCCAGAAAGCTGTCTGTGGACAAATGCTGGTTCTCTAAGCCTGAAAAGTGAGGTGAGCACTGCACCCCATAGTTGCCTTTGATTGGACTTAACCGTCCAGGGGTCCTTTACCTTTTTTTACGTTTTTAGTGGCTAAGAGACTAAGCTGTTATTTTTGCAAATCCTCAGACATGAGAAGTGTAACTATTATGTTTGTTGCCATTTGTTTGCTTCCTTTAACAAAATCAGTTAAATATATTTACAAAAAAGTATATTTGCATGTTTTTTATACTGCAGAGAACTGTAAATAAAACCTCTAAGACGTTTACAGAGAATATAAAATGTACATTAAAGTTGCCAATAAAAATCAATGTTAAAAGCAAAATGAGCAACGTCAAAGGTTAGAAGTATACATTATAAGCTAAAATTATAGGTTAAAATACATGCCAACTTTACATGTCTGGGTAGGCTCGCCTAAACAGAAAAGTTTTTAGAAGGTGCCAAAAAGATTACAGGAAAGATGCCTGCCTAATATCAATGGGAAATGAGTCCCAGTGTGTGGGAGCTTCCCTGCTAAAAGATCAGGTCCTGAAGTGCAGAATGAACATTATATGACACTTGTAAAAGTGCCGTTCCGCAGATAAAAATGATTGAGTAGGCGCATATGTGGATAACCTGGCCCCAAAATGTTAAGGGCTTTATATACTAATAGCAACACCTTAAAGCCTGACCTGGTTGCTATGAACACTCTAGGTAGGAGAAAGGGTTAAACAACACTCTCCCACTTGCTGCTGCTGTGAATAAATTTATAGCGCTCCACAGAAGCATTTTAGTTCTTAAAACATTTCAGAGATCCACTGTGGAGTTTGTCTCTTAAATGAAGAGGAAAGGGGAACTAATGCTCCAGAATTTCAGTGACGCAGGTGAACCATGGGCAATCTCAAAATCCAAACCTCAGCCATGCAGTGCATTGTTTTGTCCTTGACCAAATTTGGTCATGGGATCCTGGAGAACACAGACACGCCATGCACGAAGCAGCAGTACAGCAAATGTTTTGTGTATACCAAGCTTCATAGCAAACCCAGAAAAGTCATTTTGAAATTTGGTGGAGGTAGAAGACGGAAATGGTACAGGATGGACTAGGTTAAGCATTTTAAATCTGAAATGCCAAATCAAAGTGGCTTAAAGACATGCTAATGCATTCAGCTAAATGAGATGAACCACAGAAGTTTACTCATCTCAGAAGGAAAAAAACCCCCCACTTCACATCCACATAAGGCAGGCTGTGTGGGAAGTGGTCTGTCCTGGATATTCCAGCCTTTGAGACATTAAAAACAAACAAACACCAATGACTAGAAGTGGAAAGAAGAGGCAAAGCAAGCTCTAAGATGTTTAAATAAAAGTAACCTCCCAATGGACTATTATCCGTAAGTGGATTTATTTAATTCATATCATTTACATTTGACACTTAAATGACCAGTGTTCCTAAAGCCCGGTGATCTTTGAAATCACCATGTCACATGTGAAATGCTGCAGATGTGGAGGCCAACCACAGCTGTTTTCCAAAAAGTGGCTAGGGAACAGTGATGAGCAGATGGACACAGGAACTATACAGATCTAAATGGATTCTACCACCAAGTTGCCTAGACACAGCCAGAGGCATATTCTGTACATGTGGGAGAAGGCATTTTTTTGTTTATGTATTGCATTTATATCCCACCTTTTCCTCCAAAGAGCTCAAGGCACCCCATCCTCCCCACAACAACCCTGTGAGGTAGGTTAGGCTGAAAGGCAGTGACTGGCCCAACTTTACCCAGTGAGCTTCATGGCATACATGCGCCTACACTTGCTGGATGAGCAGCAGTTGAACATGCAAATGAGTACAGGCAGCATAGTTCCTGACCCAATCCAGGGCTGCACACCTAATAACTCTATGCTAGCAACAGTGCCTGACCAGTGTTAAAAACTGAGATATGAAAGCTAGGAACTAAATGGCACCTTAAACCTAGGTTATGGGCACCACAACGGAATGTCTAGGCACACTTTTTTTATAAGAAGAATACAAAGCTGAAAATGAATGAACTGCAGCTAAAATCTTATGTTCGTTTTTCACATTGTCTAGTCCTCATCGAAAGACTGCAAAAAAATAAAAATAAAAAAAAAATCCATGCTTCCCCTGCCCGCTCCCTTAATAGTCTTATGTAAAGGTAAAGGTACCCCTGACCATTAGGTCCATTCGCGGACGACTCTGGGGTTGTGCGCTCATCTCACTCTATAGGCCAAGGGAGCCGGCGTTTGTCCGCAGACAGCTTCTGGGTCATGTAGCCAGCATGACAAAGCCGCTTCTGGCGAACCAGAGCAGCACATGGAAACGCCATTTACCTTCCCGCTGCCGTAGTGGTACCTATTTATCTACTTGCACTTTGACGTGCTTTTGAACTGCTAGGTGGGCAGCAGCTGGGACCGAGCATCGGGAGCTTACCCCTTCGTGAGGATTCGAACCGCCGACCTTCCGATCGGCAAGCCCTAGGCTCTGTGGTTTAGACCAGAGCGCCACCCGTGTCCCACATAGTCTTATAAGGGTCCCTCAAAACACTGCCTTTCCTTAAGGCCAGCTGAGAGGCAGAACCTATCAACTTGCCTGACACTGCAGTGATTTCTTGGAAGTCCAGCAGGCAGGAATTTCTCCTTCCAAGCCCTCAACGCCAGCAATGGCAGTTTTAATCTGAAATCTTAGGCTCAGTATGCGGCCAGAGCTCAGAAATTGCTCATGCTAAAGAAATTGCTAGTTGCGAAATGTGCCTAGAACAATGGGAGTTTTGAACACTGTGCCTGACAACAATTTAGGAGGGAGAGATGAGGCCTGGATCTCGTCTCCCACTGGTTCCTGCCCTAAAGTGGCCTATGCATTCTGCTATGTCCTCACTACTGGATCCCACACACCGAGCATCCAAGCTGTTTAAAGGAGTATCAGTTTTCTTCCGGCAAATGTGGGAAGAAAGGATAAGCTTTCATTAAGCGTCACTTCCCCCATATCAACAGCTCTTTCAAACACAGAAGGTACCAGTCTAAGATTGTCAGATATATCTTTCTTTTTGCTTATGCTGACCTGGAGAAGTTCTGTTACCCATACCTATTGCTGCTCAGTGAATGGGCATGCACTCTGCACCTGCTCAGGGACAGCTTCCTCAAATATTATTTCACTTTAATATAATTACAATTATTATTATTGCATTTATAGCCCGCCTTTTTCTCCAATCCTCACAAGCCTGTGAGGTAGGTTAGCCTGAGAGGCAGTGGCAGTCCTAAGGCCGCCCAGGGAGCTTCATCGCTATGTGGCCTAATTATAGGCAATAATTATAATTGTAATTATATTAAAGTTGTGAACCCTCATCTCCCAGGTCTCAGTCCAACCACTGCACCACACTGGCCCTCAGTTCGTGAGTTTAAAGCTGATTTATTAACATACTTCTATACCCTATTCATAAAAAAAACTCCTAGAACGGCCTACGACAATTCTACACAAACCCGTACAATAAAAGTCAACATCCGAGAGCAGGTGCTACAGCGAGAAGCGCCCCGCTCCCTCCGCCCCGTCTAGCGGCGCAGGCTGTGGCCGGAGAGAGGCGGAGCGAGGGCAGCTGGTCGGCTGCCAACCCCGCGCATTCCCGTGACCCTGCCCGGAGAGGATGAGCGGGCCGGAGCATCCCTTGCCCCCCTCCCCGCCCAAGCACGCAGCGGCAGCGGCAGGACAGGGCAGGGAGGCGCGCGGAACCCCCCTCGCGCCCTTGCCGCCTTTTCCGGGGAGCGCGTGGCGGCGGCGGCGGCGGCGACCCTTTTTACCTTAGCTCCGCGGGCGCCTGGCGAGGGGCTGGGAGGGGCCGAGGCGTGGCAAGGCAGCAGCGCGCCCGGCCCCCCTCTCTCCGCGCGCCCCGCCGGGTGGAGCCGCCTTCCCTCGCCTCAGTCGGGGAAAGATCTTCGCCTGCGAGATGGGCGCCGGCATCCTGGCCCTGGCCCTCTTGACGCTCTGGCGCCACGCCGAGGCGGGCTGCGCGGAAGAGGCGCGCTGCTGCCCGGGCCGGGACCCGAGCTGTGCCAGCAGCGGCTGGCGCGTCGACCGAGCCTACGGGACGTGCTTCTGCGACGAGGCGTGCAAGCTGACGGGCGACTGCTGCTATGACTACGCCCAGGCGTGCCCAGGTACTTGCCGCGGAGGGAGAGACTGGAGGGCGGCGGGTTTCTTTTTTTGCCGCCTGAGAACAGGTGTCCGAAGGGTTAACCGTGAGCGGCTTTTGCCGGCGGAGGTGGAGTCCACTCTGCACATGCTCAGAGAGCCGCCGCTGGCTTTACACGGACCCTCTTGAAAACTAGGGCTAAGTCTTGCCGTTGGCTGGAGAAATTCTATAAAAACTATTATCTTTTATATATGGTTTTAGCTGTTAGTATTTTATCTGTGTTGTTTTAATTTGCGTAAGTCGTCTTGTGTCGCAGGGTGGGGGGAAAGCGGGATATAAATAAAAATAAAAATAATGTTAATAATTGTTTCAGCTTAAACCCCAAATAATGAGACGCTGAACAGCCACCTGCTCAGTTGCCAAAACTCCACCCAGGACTTGACTTCCCTTTCCAGCCCTGGCATTGGCCACTTTTTGCTCTTGATCCCAAGGAAATGCAGGCTTCATAAGCAAAGGCTTTAAACAAGGAGGGGAAAGCACGAATTTCCTTGTTTTTTATTTTACATGGGAAATCCAATTGAGGAACCAAAAAATGCAAGGAAGTGACTCAGGGAGACTTCATTGGGTATTTGTTTGTGAAGTAGATTCCTGCTTGAGATGGGGATATTAAATTCCTTTGCAAATCTAATGTATTGAGAGCATGAGTGGTGCAACAAACAATGTTGGAATAGAGTTATACAAAATATCATGTATGGAGGCTTCTTTTTCTTTAAATGTGTCATTGCCATGGAGTAAAGTAGAAGTGTTTGATTTGATATACAATGCTTTGTTGGGGTAAAGGTAAAAAAGGTAAATGTAAAGGACCCCTGACAGTGAAGTCCAGTCACAGACGACAAGGTAGGAGGCCTTAATGAAATCAAATAGTCATAGCTACGAATCATGGTTTAAAATGTTTTTTTTAAAAAATCTTCTAAACCATTAACTAGGAGCACCAGCACTATACACAAAAGGTAAGGACTGAGGGAGGGAGCAAGTCACCCTGTAATTCAAGCAATGCTGGTATAGATTTATCAATGAATGCAAGAATCCTGCCAGACATATACAAACCTTTCAGTATAGCAGCTGGAGTCAGGACCTGAAAGCCAAAGGACCAAGCCCTCCTAGTGAGAAGACCCTCCCCTTGGAAATTGTGTTTTTTTTAAAAAAAAAGGTTGCATAAGGATTTATTCCTTTTTAATTCTTTTTACACAGCTAACTCAGAAGGAGCAGGTGCAGGGAGACGTCTGTCAAATGTGAACCTTAAAGGCCTGCAAACCAAAAGACAATTAAAAATAACTTTTTTTTATTTCAGACAATATTCACGACTTCCCTCTTGCAGTGTGCAAGTGTTGCTTATTTGCTTGATAGCTTTTGGAGCTGTCTGCTCTGCAGGCATCTTGGACTGGTGCGCTAGGTTTGTTTCTGCTCTGTTTGGTGCATTGTGGAATGGATTATACGGATTAATCTGTGAAGCAGGGAGAGAGATTGCAGTGGAAAGGATCCGGCCTCAGAGTGGGGAGTTGAATTGGATGATCACCTGGCCTCTTTAAGTCCATTTGCTCAGACTTGTACCTCAGGCTGATCGTGGTACTATAGTTCATAAGGCAAACTGGACCTCAGTTTTGCCTCATGATGCTAACAATTGTTTTAATACTCGATTGGAAGCCGTCCAGAGTGGCTGGGGAAACTCAGCCAGATGGGCGGGGTATAAATATTATTATTATTAGGTAGTTGCAGAGGGAAATTAGTGGGAGGATGCTTAGCTTTCATCAATTCTACCTTGCATAGTGCTCCTCCAGCCCCTTTTAAATGTTTCCTTTCCATCCAATTCTCAGGATGGAAATAAGCATTGATAGTGGAGAATGCCCTGGCCAGGAAGCAGCCGTGGAGGAGGAACAGCAGACAGAGGAAGTTTTAAATATCCCGTTCAGCCCATCACCCCTCTTCTACAAATGCCTCCATATGCCACGCATTATAATTACCTGCCGTTGAACATTTTAGGGTATCTTGTGTTTGTTTCATCATCATAGCAGTGGTTGGCAAGTGGTGGTCCAATCTACTATCTGACCTACTGAGCACTGATTGTTGCTTCTCTTTTTCCCCCTCCTCTCCTGCCTAGTCATTGCTTGAAGTGCATGAAAGTCAGGGGCAGGTGGGTGGGTGGGGTGCATGCCACAAAGCCACTGACGTAGGTGGAGCAGCATGGAAGCAAGGTTGGGGGAGTGTACAGTCAGAAACTCTGGATTAGCTCTGCTGGTGAGCCTGTGCAGTCCCTACCTCAGGCCACTGCCCTACCTCACCCTGTACGTGTGCAGAGGAGGGCAACCAAGATGACCAAGGGCCTGAAAACCAAGCTTCATGGGCCACCGGTAGATTTAATCCTGCCCCTGTGGTAGTTTATTTATTGGGGTAAAGGGTAAAATTATAAAAAAGCACTTCAATCCCCCCCAAAGGACAACAACTTCAATCTCAAAAAATGCTCAACAACTTTGGTCTGTCCTCACGCATGTTCACTGCATCAAATCTGGCCCTCTTTGAAAAGTTTGGACACCCCTGCTTTATGAGGAACAGTTGAAGGAGCTGAGTATGTTTCAGGAAAACATTCTGACAGTAAGAGCTGTTTGACAGTGGAACGGACTCCTGAGGAACACTGTGGACTCTCCAGCACATTCTCTGTGATTCTGATTTTCATTCGAATCCTCTGGCACATCCATGTAAGAAAGGAATGCAATGGCCAGTGGCATTTTTTCCCCTTTACGATCAAGTGTTATATAAATTTTATTAAATAAACAAAAAATAATTATTGTCTTTGAAATGAGGAAAAATGGTGAAATCTCACTTGAGCATGACTTTTAGTTCTTCCATCTTGATTCTTGGAGGGTAAAGATTGCCAGTACAAAACTGTTTCTTAGTGACTTCCACTCCCATCAAGCTGGGAGGCCAAAGGAACGAAAAGATCCATTTGGGTGGTCCGAAAGGCTACTGGTATGCTATACTCAAGCATTTGACCTTCTAAACTGAAATTTAGATAGGAAAATGTGGTATCCGTCATTGTTATTTCCTGAGGATTGTTAGTTATTGGGGGGGGGGATGTTATTTTTGGAATGAGAGAAGGGGTAGCCTTCCAAGTAGGAGGTGGGGCCTTGAGGGACATGCAAGCTGGGTTCAAAGAAAATAAGAGATGGCTTGGAAAGCAACTTCCATTTCTGTTTATCCCGGATTTCAATCATAGCAAAGTGTGTAACACATTTTTCACACATTGGTACCATATTCCTATGAGGTACTGTAATTTTGTAGCTGCTAAATTGAACTAATCCAGGCTTCCTCAACTTCAACCCTCCAGATGTTTTTGGCCTACAACTCCCATGATCCCTAGCTAGCAGGACTAGTGTTCAGGGATGATGGGAATTGTAGTCTCAAAACACTGGAGGGCTGAGGTTGAGGAAGCCTGAACTAATCCCTTAGCAACATATATTTAAATATATATCCTGCCCTTCCTCCCAACAGAGGCCAGGGTGGCACATAAGTGAAATAAGAGTGCCAAGACCCAAGCTAGTCTGGGAATCTAGTTCAAGCATGCTTCTCTCTTTGGAAGGTGAAAAAAGGAAGAGAAAAGTGTTAAAACTTTCATCGGATTACATTCAGGAGGGAAAGTTCATGTGAGGGGATTGAAAATAAATAGCATCAAAAGGCTCCCTTCACTAGGCTGCTGAATGTGTGGCTGGCAGGCAACATGGCTGGTGCTCCCATCAAGGACAGGGTTATACAGTGCATGCCCCTTGTGCATTCTTCCATTGTGTGGGGGATTCAGCTGAGAACCCTGTGTGGTGGCTTCCAAAAACAATACTACTCCCCTAGCTGCTGTATCAAATTTTGACAATAGAAAATATGAAGAGGTAATAAGTAACAAATGGGAACAATTCATGAAAGTGAGCTTATTTCTAGTGCTGTTGATTGGTCATAAGGAGAGTTTTCCGTAGGGATCAGTGGGACTTTAAAGATTTGGCTGAATCATACTTGAAGGGAGAGAAAGAATAGAAACAAGGGGTGAATGTGAGGAAATGCATTTATCTAATTATACTTTATTACAAAAACCTAGGGTTATGCAAGGCACAAAAGTTTTGAAAATGGCACCCAGTGTTGACTTCATAGTGTTTAGTCAGAATTACCCATGTGGCCTGTGTTTTCCTGCCACAGGCAGCCTATGATCTAGAGTGTGTGGGCATAACAACAAGCCCCGCCCCCCATCCCAAGTCCACTCACTAAGTATTTCTCACTAAGTATTACAGGGAAAAGGATAATAATTTGATGTATGGCTTCATAACTTCCTCAGGTATTATTATTGATGATAATCTTAAATATCTTTGTAGCTCTTCCATGCATCGTTGGGGAGTGGAGTCACTGGAGTGGCTGCGCAGCACAGTGTAAGCCTAACTTCCGTATGCGTACACGGATCATACAGCAGGAACCCAAAAATGGTGGGGAGCCCTGTCCTCCATTAGAAGAGAGAGCTGGATGCCTGGAATATACTACCTACGAGGGGCAGGATTGTGGAGATGAGCACGGTACACATAACATACTATTTTGCTCTGAATCTTCCATTATGCTACTCACATCCATAAACATTTAATTGCTTTTTAAGAATTCATTTATTATGACTGGCTGCAGTAAAAACACTGGGTACTATTTATTCAAAAAAATGCATAATATTTTTCCATAGGGTTAACTATTAATTGATAAGTAGCATATTGCATGAAGCAAAAAAAAACTGCCTTACTGTCTTTCCATTGCAATTTCATTAAAATGGCTTCCTTCAATATATTGTGCTTAATTTTTGCAAACTGAGAGCACTCATATTTCCTCCTGCTTGCCAGATCTTCCCCCTCCTCCTCCTTCCTAACATTAGCCATGATTTCAACTACTGTAATATGTGCTTGAAGCCAAAACCATGTTCTTATAATCAGAGTTTTCAAAGGCACTACAGTTAAGAGTCTCTGTGAAGTCTGTGTAAACCATAGTTTGTGTCAGTGCATGTATAATACACAACTACAGTCAGTGGTGGGAAAAGGGTGGAATTGCTTCAGAGCCTGGAACAGGAATGGAACATGTTCAGTAGGCTGACTCCCATCTTGCAAACTGTGATTTATAGAGAGCAAGTGTCATATCTCCAGTAGGTCAGAGTTGTGCCAGCAGTTGGTTTTGCAGCAGGCCCAAGACTTTACAGGATACATGTGAATGGTCTGGTTCTGTACCTGCCACATTTTGTGGTATGTAAATAGCTTTGCATTCGGCTTCCTCACTGCACCTGGAGATGTTTGTTACATAGCAGCAGCACCAGTGATAATTCTGCAGAAATGCAATTCTTATGTTCAAGTCCCAGTAAACTGAATTGTCTTTTTTATGTAAGTGCTTGTGTAGCTTTTTTCTTTTACTAAATTTCTTGTATTTCTCCTAGAAAGCAGTCAAGTTTGTTTATTTTGAGACAAGGTTTTAACTGTTAACATACCTCAAACATATTTAACTTGGGGTAGAAGGGATTGCATAGTAGCAAATAAAGAGCAGCCAGCAGGGTAAAAAGGTAATTTACATGAAAATATTCATTGGAATGTGAGGAAAACCTATAATCTACTCAACTGCGAATGTTTGCCCATTCAACCTCTTGTTGAGAACCATATTTCAAAATGACAGAGATATTTGCAGGACTTTGGAAGTATTGACCTTCACAATTTATAGGCCTATAACCAATAACACAGTAGTCCCTCATGAAAATACCCTGTCCTACTAGAATGACCTTGTCTGCCAGTTTAATTATTTGATTACCATCTTATGATAGAGAACTCTGTTTTCTGCATCACTTCAGCTAAACAGTAATGTCAGTGTCTTTCATCCTTCTTGAAGAAGCTTGTTTTGTATTGATAAACCTTTCTCTTCCTAGTTCCTGCTTTTATAACTACTTCTGAATACAGCAAAGAGAGAAAAAAGAGAGCTGCAAATCCAAGGTGGTCTTCAGAAACAGAGAATTCTAGGTAATTAAGGCTGCAATTCCATACTTGCAAGCCCCATTGAACTCTACAGTACTTACTCTATACTCTATACTCAGTATAGAGACACACAGGCTTGAGCTGTAGGCCAATCTTGAAATATGTGCCTAGGTCATTCAGTTCACAGGAAAGAAAATATTGAACATTCATGTAGAATAATTCAACCAGGCCTGTTCCAGAGTTAATCTGAAAGGGATTGGTGGAAGCTGACATCCCCATCTCTTCTCTACACAAGCTCCTAAAAATGCTCTGCCAATCACCCTCTGCCAAGGGTACCTTGAGGAATAGGATAAGCTATAATGTAAGGGTTCTGAAGGGGGCACTGCAAAAATTAGTTGGGGCACCTTCCATATTCAAAACTCCACTGGCAGAAGGCCTCTCTGCAAAGTTTTCAGGAATGCCTCTTTCTTCTCAGTCCCCTGTGCCACAGCCTACTTCATATTGTAGGGCCTGCTGTGAGGCGACTATTTGATTGTAAGCACAGCTCAATAGTATTCTGTTCCTATAATTTGTCTATGAGGAATGCAGAACACTCATGTTGCCTAGCTGCTAGGGAGCCCACAGTGATTGTGAAGATCCTTCTGTGATGTCTTTTTTTTTTTTTTTTGCAACATGTATTTCATGGATAACTCACTCCCTGCTACAACTTCACCTATAAATGGGGCTTTATTTCAACTAACCTGCCTTATTTAAGATTTTTTTTTTATCTGTTCTGTAACCCACTCCCAGTGGTAGCAATATTAAGTTAATTACTCAGATATTTTCCCAATTCTATCTGCATTGTCTCAAAATACAGGATCATTCTCAAGATCCTGTAATTTAAAACACCCAACATCAGCATAGCTAACCTTGTGGAACCATTGTATTAAAATAAAGTTTAAAAATATTGTCTGCCCAGGTCAGTTTGCTGGCTGTGAACATAACATGGCTGTAGCTGATAGACAGTAATGTTTATGTTCAGCTATCATCAGTTCATACAGACACAGTGGACAACATATTTTGGCTTACCTTTTACTGCAGTTGCAGGTAATAGTTATGCTATAGTCTATTAAATGTATAATGCAACGCATTAACCAAAATTTCTTCTCTTAAGGAGCTATTGTGTGGAATTTAAAACAGAAACATTGTCTCCTCGTTGCTCTATGGAGAATCGCCCATATGCTCAATGGATGCAGTACATCAGAGAAGGATTTACGGTGTGTGTAACCTGCCAGCCTCCTGCAATGCACACTAGCAGTCATCGCTGTTTTGGAGATGGTGGTGATGCAGATGGGTAAGCAATTGAATCTCATTTCTGAAGTCCTACCATCAGCACAACAAAGATTTTAACTTATACGTTATATTGAACAGTTTTTAAAGAGTAGATTGCTGACACAGAGAACATTTTAAAGTAACTTGTACTGCTTCAGATCACTACTGTATGGGCACTCCTCTGTACAGTATTAGTAAGGTACACAAGTGCAAGACCAAGAACATTTCTCTATTTTGTTCATGTGAACGCAGAATAGGAACTTTCCTATTCCTATTGAACTGGGTCATTTTGATCCCCACCCTCATTCAAAAGTGAGATCTTTTAATGTATAGGGGTCTCAGTTTAGGCTAAAGCAGCAATTGCTTGATATCCAGGCTTCAAACACCATTTCCTGCATTTAAATTACTGTTTAAAAATACAAAGTTTGAGTTCCAACAGAAAACATAATAGTTTTGAGACTTCATTCGATAGTTGGCTCACAAGGAGACCCTCCCCAGAGCCTGAAGAGGATGTCCTCTTTAATAATGTCTTTTTTTCCAATTGCCCCCTTTCCTTCTTCCCCTCTTAACTGTCAAAACTAATAGATGACATCCCTCCTTTTCTCCAAGTGGTTGTTCAGCTGTCTTAAAAATCTTCTCTTTTACTTCACATCCCTTTCTAACAAAAGTGGGGTTAAATTAGTCATGCAAAGTAGCTAAAGGCACATTTCTTTTTCCATACAAAAAACAGGGATGCAAATTGTACTCCAATGAGTTGCAATACAGGTGGGGCCTAGACCCTGCAGGCTCAGTAAGCAGAGTCCTTAAGTCAATTATTTTCTTGGTCCTACTGTAGTGAGTGCTACCACCTTGCTGCTTTTAACTTCTGCCTCCATGAATGCATCAAAAGACCTTGGCAGCCATGTTATAGAAAATATAGGCTAATTCACACAGAACTCAGCTTACACCTACCATAGCAGAATCAATGCATAACTTTCTTCATTGATGGACAGTTATTATGAATAGCTCCTATCAGTTCAACAAGTAAACTGATACAGTAAAGTCAAAGTTGCTATTAAACACAGATGGCTTACCTGTAGCCCTCCAGGTGTTGCTTGACTGTGACTCCCATAATACGTAACCATTGACCATGCTGGCTTGGGCTGATGGTTGTTGGGAGTTCAACATCTGCAGAACCCCTGCTATAAAATCAGTGTACTTAAGAAAGAAGGTTACTGCAATATGATGACACAGTAAATGCAAGTTGCTTTTGTATAGACACTGAAAATGTTGCATTGCTATGGACTCAAAGGGCCAGGTTATTTAAAATACTTTCTTACATATATACTTACCTGATCCCCAAGATCACTGGAGACCCTGTTACAACTTCTTTGGCCAAATAAAGTGAGGTGGCTGGTTGCTAGGGAAAGTCTCTTATCTGTGGTGAAACTATATTGACAGAAGGTGAAGATTAAAAAAATGTTTCTAATCTGGGCTTTTCAATTTTATGTTTTATTGCATATCTGCCATAAAAAGCAGTATTAAAGTTTGATGTGTTGATTTATACATTATGTTTATTTTTTTGTGAACCAACCCGAGAGCATATGCTGTTAGCTGCCATACAAAAAAGTAATAAAATTCATTTTGCAGATGCTACAAATTATTGAACAGTGAAGTAGCTCTTTACAGCATGCTCAGTAAGTTTAAACAGGAAGTTAAAATGCCATGTATTTATATCCACTCCCCATGGGATGATGTTTATGCATATGTTCTCTTTTTAGGAATAAAGTTCTTCACTGGCAAGCGGTTGGCAATCCCTCCTGCCATGGAACATGGAAAAAAGTTCAGCAGCTGGAAGAATGTTCATGCCCTCTTGTACATAGTTTTATTTTTACGTAACAGTTTGAACACATAACCTTTAATATTTTACTGAACTGAGGAAACTCTTCTACTGTTGGACTTCTGTAACCCTATTAGACATTGCTTTTTAACAAGTGACAAGTCAACATTTTGAAATCACAGTCTTTTGCTGCACTGAATAAAAACTAAGCTAATTATTGTAAGTTATGATAGGCATCTTGTGTCTGCAGATGATGATCATTGTGGAAGCCCCACTGAAAATGAGGCAATCCAGAATCACTTGCCCCTATCCATTTTAATAGCAGGCTAGTGATTCCCAGTTTGTTTTATCCAGTACAAAAGACAATAATCACCATTCAAAAGGAAGTTCCTGGGATAGATACTGGAATTCCAGGCATATTCAACATCAGACAAATATTATAGGTTCCTTAGAAGGTGCACACACAAAAGAAATGGTTGGAGACTGCCTGCTTCACATGAACGCCTGAATAGGGAAGCTGTTTGATGCAGCTTCACAGTACAGCTAATCTTTATAGATAAGTAGCTCCTCACATGAGACAACTACTAATGTGTGGCTCCTCATCATGTGAATGCTTCTGACCATCTGGGGTTTTCTGTTTTAATTGCTTGTAGCAACTTTTATGCAACTGTGCAGAAGATAGGTTTGAATTTCTTATCAAGCTCTCAAGGGTAAAAGATAAATTATCATAATGATTCAATGCAAATCATTTTATTTGCCTGATAACCAGATACACTACCTTTTCAAAAACCAGCTTAAGCAACAAGACTATTTAATAAAATACACTAGAATTTTTTGTGTTAAACATACTTACACCAAAATGGTTTTCACTGGTCTGCTGTAAACTACATAAAGGAATCACCTGACAAGATCAGAAATGCAGTATAGGGAAGAGTGGAGTAAAATGAAAATATTTGGGATGACAGCTTAAACCATGTTTAGTCTGACCAAAGTCCTCCATCTGTCTTTCAACATTACATTAGTCCGATGATTGAAGTCATAATGTAGAAGAATTTTAGTCCACTTTCCTACTCCAAACTCCTGTACACCCTTTTTCAATTTCTCGTCTTCTTCCCAACTCCATCGCTTTAAAAAACAAAACAAAACAAAACATTGTGATACTCAAATATGCACAACACACTTCAAAATATTTTCCTCTACTGTTGAGCTAACAAGCTGTGAAGGAAACCTTCAGTTCTTACCATTATGATTTTTTAGGACTGAAGGAGTTAAATCTTCTGCATACTTGTAGCCTACAGAAGTGTAGCATTTCAGGAATTGTTCCCACTAGGGACAAGGTCAATAAATCCAATGTTTTTATGGAAGAAAAACTGGATTTAAATAAGGGACTTGTTTTGATGGAAAGCTAGTCTAGAAACTATTTTAGCAAGCTTCAAATCTAGGGTTTTTTTTTTTTAATAAAATGACTATCAGCCTAATGACCATCTCTAGCGTGACTGATTTTTCTTCATCATATTTTTAGAAGGCAGAAACTCCTTTGAGATAAAAATGTATATCTTCCAACCAATCAAGCAGGGCACAACATTCACTTGCCAACTGAAAGTGACTTTCTGAATTCTATTTTTAGCTGCAAAATTGTAAAAATATATAGACCCATGTATGCAAGCTAACTAAAAAATAGTGCAATGATTAACAGAAGACACTGTTACAACATTCACTTTGCCTATGGGAGAATTGAACAATGGCAACATTGAACAGAGTAACCACTCAGAGAGTTGTAAAAAGTCAACAGCCTTTTGAACATTCACAGTGTTCTTTCATGTAAAATCTTCTATAAACATCCGTCACTATTGAAATGGGTAGGTTCAGCTTGTTTGAAATACTCAAAAGAGCTGCTTTGAGCTCTGAGATTATTTCAATAACAAAGATTGTGAAGAAAAGCAATGTATCTACTTATTTTAGGGAGAACCTGAAATTGTCCACACTGAACACAGTATTTTAAGTCTGGGATTGCTGGCTTCCCAAGCTTGCTAGGCCAAGACCCTCTCCTGCCAAGCTGTGATGTCACTTGTCAACTCTGGAAAGGAGTTTCTGCGCAAGTAGGGGCACCTTCATCTTCATGGAGGGCACAACAATCAATGGGTAGCTGAGATGGCTACATTCCAATCTCAAAGGCAGTATCTAAATAGCAATTTCTGGGAATCACAAGATTGGAGAGTGATGTTGTGGGCTTCTCATAGGCATAGATTGGCCACTGTGACAGCATGAAACTGGATTCAATGGGCCCTTCTAAGGACATGGTCTGCATTTTATAACCCTTCCCCAATTCATACCTGTCTCTTAAAACTTGTTGACAGAGATAAAGTATCTTCTTGACCATTTTCAGGATCATGCAGCTCCCTCTTGTCTAGTTCAGGTAAAAAACAAAATAAATATTTTGAATCTTTCAACTACAATGTATTATTAACGGCCTAATACTCAGAAATTTTCTTAATACAAATTTATTGCAAAACAGTGGAAGATAATTTAAATAGCAGTTAATTCTGTGGGTACAGCTTTGTTGCTTCTATAAGATAGTATGTACAACTACATCAACTAATAAGAGATAAGAACTAGGGTGACAAGAAAGCTTGCCAATAATTTAGTTGTGTGGAGAGCCATATATGCACGGTTTACTTGCAATTTAGCAATAGCCCAGGGCAACCCAAAGTGACTTGCAACCAACTAACCAGACAGATAACACACACAAAAACAAACAAAGCAAGAGGTATTAAGAAAAACAAAAACATCCTACCCACTTCTAAAAGGCAACAGATAGTTAAAAGGCCAAAGGCCTGGTTAGGGAACCACCCACTAACAGTTCCTCAGTCTTATCTCGATTGAGCTTCAGCTTGTTGGCTCTCTTCCAGTCCATTACCAAGGTAAGGCAATGGTCCAGCACATGAACTGCCACACCTGCAGATGCGTGTCAGCAGCATATTGCTGACAACGTACAGTCATACCTCGGGTTGCGAACGCTGCGGGTTGTGAATGTGCCTCCCCCAGATAACCCCACCCAGCAATTTCATGTAGATGTTAACATCCAAGTAGGACCAGAACCACGGCAAGTCCTAAATAGTTGGTACCAAAAATAGTTTAAGGCTGTGATCCAAGTATGAATGCACAGTAATTATATGCAGTTTTCTTGGATTTAAAAACTTATAGCAGTATTTCAATTATTTATCCACCAAAATTAAAATGGAGTTCATACACACTGAAAGGATTGCAGCACTTACTTTGAAGAGCACTTCCTTTTCTCCTTATTTTTCTCTGGGGAGTCTGTAGTTGCCATGAATCCCAAGGTACTTGGCTAGCTAATGAACAAGTTTGTCTATTTGAGCTATAAAGGAATGAAACATACATAAATTTCAAGCCTTAACTATTTTGAATTCATGCTAGAATATATTTTTCCAGTGATTTTTCTTTGCTGAATGGAGTTTATTTGAGGGAAGGGTGAGATCAGAATTAAGAACAAAATCAATATAACTTTGGCCACATTCCACAAAGCTTAGTGCCTCATGCTACAAAATACATTCCTCTTGGGAGGCCCCAAACATAGGCAGTGATGAAGTGGACGTCCAAATAATATTTTGCTTTGTATCAAATTAGGATACTCTACCAACATTTTATCCTGCATATAGAAAATCTGTCACCATCTCTCTCAAACTTCAGAATCCCTTTTAATATAAGTAAACTTCTATAACACTATATTTCAGCTGCATTCTTCATATTATATAGGGACACGTGATGCTGTGGAAGTAAATACTGTACCCAATTTTACTACTACTGAGTAGGAATCTGGGTTTTAAAGTTCTGTTTGGCCAATACTGCTACTTTTGCCATTCTGTAGTGCCTTAACATCTTCAGCCATGCTGCCTGATGCTGACTCTCCCTGCATTCACCCCACCCCAGGTCTATTTCAGGAAGCTCCCAGGTTAGGGTTCCAAGGAAAGTTGCATCACTGCCAACCACTCTTGGGTGCAACACCATCCTGGGTAGTAGGGAAAAGTGAATAAGGACAGATAGATATAGTTATTGTGCATCTGTGGGGCACCTCCAATTTACAGTGCCCATTGGCAGAGCAAGAAAAAGCTTCTCTCAGTGTAGTTGTATTTATAAACATGAACACATACAATGTTTTTGAGATGGAGATGCTATACAGAAACCCTAATGTCTTACTAGATAGCTAGTGCTTTTCCAGCTTATGCCTCTACTTGCTAAACTTTACTATGATAAAAACATGACATAATGTAGTCTTGAGCTAAGGAAAATATGGTTTCACACAAACAAAAAGGAATAAATCCCTGCTCGCACCTACACTACCCTTGCTATAATAAAGCTGTAGTAACAAGAACCATGTTCAATATGTACTTACTTTAAAGTGATACTAACCTTTGTTTGGTTTCCAAGCAGCTTTCGTTCTTTGATTCAGTTACACTGTTACATTGCAATTGTAACATTATTTTTCCTGAACTTCTAGCTTCCACTTCTTTCATAGCTTCCTGTAAAACAGAGCAGAAATGCCACTTTAATTAACATATTTTTCGCACCATAGGACGCACCGGACAATAGGACACACTTTGTTTTAGAGGGGGGAGAACAAGGAAAAAAAATTCTCCCCCTCTCTGCCCAGCGCCCCTTCAGCGAAGTGGCAGGAGGCGCTGCGCAGAGAGGGGGAGAACTTTCCCTCTTGTTTTCCCGCTCTAAAACAAGGTGCTGTTTAAGGTGCGTTCAGGCGGCTACCTTGGAAGCCTGGAGAGCGAGAGGGTCGGTGTGCACTGACCCCTCTCGCTTTCCAGGCTCCAGGTTCCATCTGACCTGCTCTTTGGGGCTGGTGGTGGGCTTCCCCCCACCAGCCCCAAAGAGCAGGTCAGGGAGCAGCGGAAAGGCGCAGCGGAGAGGCTCCTGCCATAGCCGCGCGTCACCTCTCCAGCCGGGAGAGGGTCGCGGGGCTATGGCGTCTTCGCTCCATAGGACGCACACACATTTCCCCTTCATTTTTGAAGGGGAAAAAGTGCGTCCTATAGAGCGAAAAATACGGTAACCAGAAACAAAAAGTAGTGCATTGTTCTTAGAAATACTATATCCATTTCTTGGGGGGTGGGGGGAGTAAAACTACACTACAATGTTAAGAACAAATTTCAATGATTAACGTTCACTCATCTACAACTTAAATGACAGGTACAGTGGACCCTCTGGATACGAATTAAATTTGTTCTGGGGGTCCATCCGCAACCTGAAAAGTCCTCAGGCAGAGGCGCCACTTCTGTGCACGTGCATGGTGTGATTGAGAGTTTCTGCGCATGCGGCGAAACCCAGAAGTATACACTTCTGGATTTGCTGCATTCGTAACCCAAAAGTTAAGTATCTAGAGTGGTATTCAACTAGAGGGTCCACTGTACACATAAATTGGAATTTTTCAAACCAGGTTTATATTTTGCTTTGTCTTTAAAAGATGTAAGCCAATTTTTTTCTGTTTTTAGTATTTGTTTAATTTTCCATAAAGTGATATTCATGTGAAGTGAGATTTCCCATTGCTTCAACATACCTGCGTTAGAAAATCAGATTTTTCACTCAAGAAAATACTGATGTATGATTTGATGTTCTGAATCAAAAGACTGAAACTGAAATTTCGGAGAAATGGATGATATGGATCTTTCTGTTTTACTATTGCAGCCAGCTTCATTCGCAAAGGCTAAATGCAAATAAATTAAAAAATCAAAAATTAATATATATATATATGATCAGGGTTACATTGTATTGTATCTTACTAAGGATATGCACCTTTATGAGCCAAGATTCAAGAAGTTCAGTACAGGTAGGTTCGGTCCATTTGTTATCCTGGTACAAATCACATCACTGCTGCACAAATTACCTTTCTTTTATCTAGCATTTTCAATCTAAAAGAATATTTTGCTCTATAGACTTGTTTGCTAAGAAGAAATTTTCAATACTTCTCCATATAGTTACAGATGGCAAAATGCAGAGTGGCTATCCTATTCAATATAGGGAACTTGATTCTCATTAGTCAAGATCTTTGATGAGCAAGAGCAATGTCTTCTTGTCAGCAGCTTGGCTTGGGAAAATATGGAACCCTACCCCGCATGCTTTCTGCCATGCAGATGAGGGAAAAGGAGCAAGGATGAAGCAAATCTGCCTTGCTTATTTTGAAGTTACTACTACTACTACTACTAATTTTATTTATATGCTGTTCATCTGACTGGGTTTCCCCAGCCACTCTGGGTGGCTTCCAAAGAATTATAAAACCACAGTAAAACATCAAACATTAAAAACTCCTAGGCATTTTCTGATTTTCTCCTTAATTTAAACTGATGTTATTTTTCGTATCTCTTTTGTAACCCTATTCTACACAGTAATGCAATATATAATTTGACAAACAAGCAATTAGCTTGGTAAATTTGCATATTGCTCATTTATAGGCACCTGCTACGTTTTTAATTTGTTCCAGACCAAACTGTCTGGAGTAATCAAGCTTCTGGACTCAAAAATATTGAAAATTCAGTATTACCTCATTTGAGAGAGATTCCGGAAATATTCTTTCGAGGACTTCTGCAGACTCTGTAAAATATCCTTTTTCCATATACACTGCTACAGCCTACAAAGAAAGAATACATTCTGGATTGATTAAGAGGTGTCACAATTACACAAAAATTTGTAATACTGTATGGGAGCAAAGCTACTTCTGCAGCTGAATGTTACATGACCAGTCTTTGTTAATGGTCTTTCCTAAGACTCAATCCTATGGTCTTGCTTGGACAGGTCAATGATAGTCCATGAAGAAATTTAAATGAGTGATGCTCTGACTTATTTCCATGGCACATTCAAGCAAATATGGCTGCATGGATCTACAGACAGACCTGAATCTGAATTAACCGCTTGATGTCTTCATGCAGCTTATCTTGTTTGCTTTGTGTTTTTAAAAATGAAGTCCAGATTAACAGGGCTTTTTCCAGTGGTGAAGAGTCTTCATCATCCCCCAAATGAAAACCTTAAAAGGAAATAAATTGAGAAGGGCAAATAGTGTATTTCATAAAGAAGACACACACAAAAAGGACACTAAAATTTACCAATCATCATATGCCTCCACAGCTGATGGTTTTAGGTGCCCCTTGCCGTTTGTTAAGCCTCCTTGTTTGACCCTTACAGAATTAAATGTGACCAGTTTTTGTTCTATCAACCAAATGTAGGGTAGTAAAGGCAATAACTCAGGGCAGACTAGAGAGTCATGGAGGGGAAATTGCTGTGGTCTGTAGGAAATATCTTCAGACTTCCTTCTTCTCCCTTCTTCAGACTTCCTGATCACTAGAATGGGGATCTAGAGTGTTTTACCTGGTGCTAGGTAATCAGGACAGATGAGATATTCTTTTGGTTTGCTATCTGCTGCACTGCCCATCAATCCCAGTGCCTGAGCTGACAGAGAAGATATTAGAGGTGGTGTTGAAGACTCCTATACCATTAGTTCTGGGGGAATTCAACATCCACACTGAGGCTGTTAATTCTGGCGTGGCTCAGCTTCTAGGCATGAATAATATTGTCACTGCAGACACCCAGCCAAAGAGTATGAATGGAACTGCTCTGTCAAACTAGGAAGACCCCCTCTTGGATATTCTCAGGACCTATGCATTTGAGATTGAGATACAAAGAACCATGACTTCAAGAAGATGGAAAGAAATAGAAGAGTATTCAGGGTACAGCTTCTCATTCGGCACCAGGTGGCATCTTGAAGTGGTAGCACATTATTTGCTGCTTCTGAGTGGCTCCAAAGCCCAGAACAAAGGCAGACAAATGTAGTCTCAGGGAACGAGCAGAATCCTTCTCTGGACTATATTTGGGGGGGGGGGGAATGAACGAATTCCTATGCCCCACAAATAACCCAGAGATGCCTTTTAAATAAAAGGACACATTCTACTCATGTAAAAACACACTGATTCCTGGACTGTCCACAGATTGAGAAAGTGATTGGGCCGTATCCGGCCCCTGGGCCTTAGACTGCCTACCCCTGGTCAAGAGCAACAACAGCCTCTTATTGCTTTTAACTTTCCCCAGTGACTTGTGCAAGGGATCACAAATAACAACTTTCTATCAAGACCAAACAAAACTTTTAGACACCATTCATGACTGTCCTTTGTTATCTGAGTCTCATCCTTTCCAACCCTATGTCCAAGTTTAGACTGTAAGCTCCTGAAAACAGCAACTTTTGTTGCTTTGTTATGCCACTCTGTGAAGCACTGCATGCATTGTTGGCACTAAACAAAAGAAGCCTCATTTGATTTATCCGTACAGGTAACTTACAACTTATGCACATTTAATTTGTGCACATTCAGCTTTATGCACTAGGCTTTTTAAAAAAACAAACAAAACAACAACATTAAAAGCGGTTTTTTTGCAATCCCACCCACCATTGAACCAATATGTTTTGACTATACACTACTTTGGCCTTAGGTGCTATCCTCGGAATGTAAACCCAGTGTAAGTTGGGGTTGCAAAGGAATATTGTAAATATTGTAAAGGAATTACAATGCAAACTGAAGAAATTTAGCAGAATATTTACCAAGTGATTTTCCTTCTGCAATATATGCCAACAGCTGACAAAGGCACACTGTTTTCATTTGATGAGTTTCTATTTGATTTAGTCCTTTGATAATAGCTGGAGAAAGAAAGAGCATACATGATTAGATGAATTTTGTTCCTATAGTGCCACTGTGTGGTTATCAGTATCAGGAACCTTTTCTGTATCTTAAGCACAGTTACTTGAAATGAAGCTGTGCTGAAATCAATGGCACTATCTTTCAAATAATTTTATTTAGGACTGGAGCATTCAAGGGCAACTTTTATTTAGTGGCTTACACTGATGCACTCATTCTAAAATATGACTAGTCAATCTGTCAATGAGATTCATATTTCCATTCAATTAAACAACAATAAGTTTTAGAGTTATTTTGACCATAGAGGGAGCCAGAGATCAACAGATTTTCAGGCCAATTTTCAGCATAAATAAATTTCAGGACACTTTTAGGTTGAATGGTGGTAACAACCCAATTTCCCCCCAGTGTGACAGTCTGACGTAGTTACTTAAGTCATAAATGCATTGTGTCTTTGTAAATTTGTCTTAGAAATAATGCAGCACATAACAGCAAACATGATACAATTGCTCAACAGTTTGATACCGTATTTTTAGTGTTCATTAATTATTTGACTAGGTTATCTCAGACAGAACATACTAATCTGCCAAGTTAATCTAAGAGGGAAGCTTCGGTTTCTCTTCCGTAGTTACAACATCAAGGAAAAGCATTCCCTTATAAGTCTCTGTTCTAAAACCACTGGAATTGTTTTTTTGACTGCTTTTAACTTGTGTTTTTAAATTTGGGAGTTTTGTTGTTTAAATTAAGGGACATGGGTTGTGCCTGGGAAGAGAGGAACTGGGAAGAGCTGGCTCTGGGCTAGATAGCTGCCATGATGACGAGGGGCCCAACACGTCAACCAGCCAATGCAGGTGGTAGGCCACACTCTGGACCTTGCTTTCTCAACTGGGCAGGAAGAATCACTTCCTGTTGAGATTGAGGCTTTCAGCACCTTTCCCCTTCTGCAGAGGTGGGGGCCCTGGGAAAGGTGGTACACCTTAACCTGAAACTGTTCTTACCCTGAAGCACCACTTTAGCTAATGGGGCCTCCTGCTGCTGCCGTGCCACCGCCGCGCGATTTCTGTTCTCATCCTGAAGCAAAGTTCTTAACCCGGGGTACTATTTCTGGGTTAGCGGAGTCTGTAACCTGAAGCATATGTAACCTGAAGTGTATGTAATCCGAGGTACCACTGTATTTCAGAGGGACCTTGGGACAGTTGCTATTTCTCAGTCTAACCTTCCACACTGTTAGAGAGGATAAAATTGGAAAAAATATATTCCTTTAATACCCTGCGCTTGTGATAACAAATTTAACGCTAAATAACCTTTTCTCTCACAGAAAATTCCCCAGGAGTCTGAACTTGCTGTTCTCCAGGGCAATCAGATTGGTGGGATGCGGAAAGTTTCATTAGGTACCGCTACAGATGTGTTGGTTGCATTTAGAATGTGGCCAGCAAGCTGCAGCTTTACAGGGCTATCACATCTTGTACCTGTACCTGCAACGTCTTGTACCTGTAACTGGGCTAACACTGCAACTGCTAAAAGTACAGGGACACCTCAAGGGAAAATAAAACAGAGGCATGCTTGGAACCATTCATACTGGCTTTGCAGTTGCTATTTGTGTCCTCTTGTCCCTCCTAATAAACTAATATTCTCTCACACACACGTACTCTCTCTGTGTGTGAGTAAATCCCCCCCCCCCCACGGAAGAGGCTATTGTTGTGCGGTAATTTGCGAGCGAGCTTTTTCTGCTGGCGCGAGGAAGGGGAGGAGAAGCTTCACTTTCTGTGTTTTCGAGGCAGAACCAGTCAAGCGGGCGGCGGCGGCGGCAGCGGCAGCTCCGACCCCACCAGCAGGCCACCCCCTCTCCAGCCGGGCCAGTCACTCACTCAGCGCCTGGTCTCGGCTGTTCTCGAATTCCCTCCGGTTGCCCTGACAAAAATGGCGGCACTGGCAGCGGCAAGCGAAATCCAGCATCCATCCGGCGGCGACCGCCTCCACCTGAGAGAAAGGAATCTGCGCCTCGTCACGGCCAGCCGGACCTACCGCCGCGGGAGTCGGTCGAGGGGGACGAACTGGGCCGAAAACCGTTAAACTCGCCTCCACGTCCATTTCCGAATCTGGCGCGCTCAAAACGAATACTTATAACTCCGCCCCCTTTTCGCTCAACCGTCCCGCTACGTCACCGGTCCCATTCTGGCCACGCCTCTTCCCGCCGCTTCGCGGGCCATCTGGGAAGGAGTCCCGCTTCTTTCCTAGATATAGAAGGTGGGGGGGGGGGGAGGATTATGCACAGCGCTCACTTCCGGACTTTATTTAATGCTGCCCTCTTTTTGCGGGGCAGGATAATAACACAGAGCACCGTCCCTGGCTCTCCCTCTTTTCTGTATTGCGAACAAACATTTTTTTATGCTTTGTTTTGTGACCAAATGATATTTTCTCTTCCCTCTTTCTTTGCATGGCTACTGCATGTTTTTTATTTGTAATTATCTGTCTGCCTTTAATCGATCTTTTATATTTAGTTTTAATTTTATTAACGTTTAATTTTTTTTTTATGAACCCCCCGCCCCCCATGTTTTCAGCTGCGCCTTCTTTATCTGTAGACCGCCTTGAGTCCTTGTCAGGGGAAAAGGCGAGATAAAAATAATACGTAATAATAATGTTCGAGGAAAGTGTTTTCATTGTGCCAGTTTGGCAGCTTTAGCCTTCTGGAGAGGCTGAACGATCAATGGGGAAAAGTAGATGTTTCATCACATATCCCTTCTCCAGTCCCAAGGAACTTAGGGTGGCACACCTCATCCTCCCCTTTTATGTTCACCACAAGCCTGTGAGATAGGCTAGGCTGAGATACCAGGACTTGCATGAGATCACCTCTTGAACTTCGTGGCTAAGGATTTGAACCTTGGTCTGCACAGTCCTGGTCCGCCACATAACCACTTCAGGGATGGGGAAAACCAGTGGAGCTCGGGTATTTGTTGAACTACAACTCCCATCATCCCTGACCATTGACCGGGCTGGTGGGAGTAGGAGAGCCACAGGTTAGCCACTTCTGCAGTGCACCACTGGTATTGTTGACTATTTTAAGAAGGGTTGACCGTGTGGACGATGCAATCCTTAGTTCTTCAGAGTTTGGAAGAAGCATTGGCTTTTCAGCTCTTAAGTCAGGGATTGTTCCATATTTTAAGCAGAAAAGTGGAGACCACATCAGACATCTATAATAAGACTTTTGTAAAAGCCGTTCTACTAGACCCAGCCAACGTGACCAATGGTTAGGGGGTGATGGGCGTTGTAGTCCCACAGCTAGAGGGCCACAGTATCACCACCCTGCTCTAAAGAGAAGTTATAATGATGTGACTTGCAAGTGCACCCCTTTTTATATGCCATTTTTATATATAGTCATCAGCAGACTGGGAGAATTCATTACATCCCATCAGAATGCGGCTTGATGGAAGAAGGACATGATCTCTCTAACTCCCATTCTCTCTGCAAAGAGATCCCTTAGGAGCTACAGGATTTAATAAAGCCTTTTCCTTTCATCAGCTGAAGAGTTCCTGAGGGTATAACCCAGCACACTGGGACTTGGGTTGCTTTTGATTACATAAAAGAACAGTGTTCTTCATAGCGACTTGCTTAAATTGAAATGGGCATGACTGCATTCCAAGAAAGCTTGGTTCTAGTTGGTTTGATGCTAATTATTACCATTTGATTTAGTGCTGAGATCAGCTAGTTCTCATCATTTCCTGCCAAACTGAAACTGAATTGAACTGTTGTACATGCCACTGAATTATTGTGGAAAATTAGAGTGACTCTTTTTCTTGGTTCTCCCTACACTGTTTTAACTTTCAGGTGAGATAATTTTTCAGCTTTCCTGCACTGGTTTTCAGTAAGGACTCCCCTTTTTACTATTTGGGTTGAATTAATAAAATTGTGCAAATTTTAATTGTGGGGTGGGGAGGTTGTGGGGAGTCCACTGTATTGCCAGTCAAATAGGATCACGATAAGCAAACAAGCATCTTGCTACAATTCCACCTTCGTTTGCATTTTTTAAAGTTTCCATTAGGGTGTTTATTTGAGATTAATTAGCAAAATTGTGCAAGATACATTTTTTAAAAAAGATTATCATCCCGCCCCAAATTTCTTTAAAACAAGTACAAGGAACTGAAAGACAAATATACTGTTGTGAGTTTGGGGTGGGGTGCGCTGTATGTCTGAGTTCCTTCCAGTTCCTGGAACCAGTTGCGATTCAAATTGCTGGAATAGCCAGGCGAGATCCTTGCTAATGGCCCAAGTATGGGTTGTTAAGGTAACAAAGGAATTGGCTCTGCCAGAGGACAAATGGGTGGGTCCTCCTCTTAAAAATGTCTTTTAGTTAGAAAGACAAAGTCCAAAGTTGAGGTGTGTAAGCTAGAAGCAAGGTTGCAGGCTGGGCAGCTGAGAGACAGAGCCGTGCCTGATCTTTGCTTGAATCCAAGGTTGTGGCTATGGGAGAAGCAAACCTTTTTGGGGTGTTAATGTTGTGAGCCCCTTCATTGTAGGCTCAGGTTGTATATATGTGTAAATGAACCATACATCATAAAGACACTGCAGTATCTGCTGTCCCTCATTCCAAGGAAACCAAACCTTGGAAAAGCATGATTGGCCTGGTTTTAGAAACAATTCTCTCTATGCAATAAAGAATAGATAGCAGATGCCTGGGCAGAGCACATAAATAAAGTCTCCTGTTTTGATGACCGAAATCAGAGAAATACAAGAGTGGGTGAAAACAAAGATGCTATTAATTTTAACTTCAGTAAAGATGATAGGTCACACTGATTTAATGTAATTTAACTTATTATTGGGTTTTAAACTGTTTATATGCATATTACAACATTTGTAATCTAGGCGATGTAATAATGTTTGTATATAAAGGGGTGAACATTAATAGCCCATAACAGAAATGCTACATATGTAACAAATGATCTCAAAAGAGATTAAGCATATTTGGATTTGGTTGATTCTAGGAGAATATGGAATGAGAACAAGAAATATGGGTGTAGGAAGACATGAATATTCAATAACCATTTTGCACAATCCCCTTGGGTAATGTTTATGCCTTTTAGTGTTGAGAAATATTTAGTGACAGAAATATTTATGGGAGCTGAATTCTGGCATGCATGCATGTGTATCCATGGAAACTGTACAACAAATTCCTACCCTAGCTACTTATTCAAAACCATAATAACATTTCCCAGACCAATCACAGCTCAACAGTAGATCTGAATTTCATCAACCTGCAGTCATTCTACAGATAATCTGCTTAACATAATTTTTAAATGGAAAAATGGTTACTTTTAAAAAAACATTCTGGAATCTAAGGCTGTACCCAGCAGACACAGCAATCCTATTTCTGGAGTGCCACCAGCAGAGCTCTGCAGAGTATCTGCAGCCGGGGCACTCAATGGTAGTGGCAGCAGCAGCTGAAGGTAGGGCAGGCAGATTAGGCAACATCTGGAAGGCCTTTGTTTCTCCACTCCTTGACCTTCACCTATCAGCTGGATCATCCACGCAGAAGGTACCTTCTTTCTGGCACCATTTTCTACTGTTTCTTATGGACATGAATTCTAATTTCCCTTATTTTATCTCTAACTGTTGCCAATACAGTCAACTTGCTAAATCCAGAAAGGTGAAATATAGACTACTTGATTTTCACATTACAAAAACATTGTGTCTATACCTGTGCTGTGTGTGTGCATGCACACATTCTTTTCCCTGTGAATAATTTCACAATTCCAATATGCTAGTGGTTGGGAAATATATGGAAAATCCTTATTCTGAATCCTGAATATTCCTTACACATTGTTTCCGGGTAAATCACGCCAACATCTGGATAGGTTCTTGAGGCTAAGGCTTCAAATTAATCTCACATTGTCTGTCACTGATTAAATTAAAACACAGGCAAGTTGTTGTTTTAGCTGAAGCTTAACAAGGCAAAGATCTGTCTATAGAAACTGTTTATGCATGCACATTTCCTTGTAGAATGAAAGGTTTCCTTAGAAAAAAAGAAAGGGGTGGCAGGGATAAGGAAATTACATATGAAGAGGGGGGAGAGACAACATAAGAGAAATGATACAATACCATGAATGAATTAAAAGGAAATGTAAAAACAAGACCTGCCTTTCAATCCTTTTCTTGATTATTAAGTATCACATTTCTCTTGTATTTAGGTTTTATCATTAAGGTAGTTTGCCAATCAGTTATGCATTACAGTTTTTGTATTGCACTGTTTTGCTGTTGTAGATAATATCATTGCTTTTGTGCCCTGCCATGTTCAGTAACCCATCTTCATTTCTGTCCTGTGGAGATTTCTGGTCAGCAGGGCCCTCCTTATCATTAGGCTGAGTGAGGTAACCACCTGAGGTGGCAGATGCTAAGAAATGGTGATGCCAGCACCCTGGCTGTTCCTTCTCATTCCTCGCCCAGCCATTTGCCATGTGTGTCATGCAGCCTGTCCTGCAACCCCCTGAACTAGCTGGGTGCCCCAGGTGCAGACAAGATTATTCCCTTTGCTAATGTTGGAGAAGTAATCCACTGCCAGTCCGGTTTCTGGCCATTTCTCCTCTTTCATAGGCATATACAGTCAGACTATGAGTTTTCTTATCACAGAAAGGAACTGCTTCAGCAACAGCCCATTCTGTGGCATCAAGTGGGATACCAAACAGAAGAAGTTCCCCAACCCCTTTGAGGGCTCTCCTGAACAAGGTAGGATGGTGTGTGTGCTTGTGTGCAGGGAGTGGCTTCTGGTGGAGGTGAAAATCAACAAAAAACAGACTTCTATTCTAAGACAGGTGAACTTAGGTAACTTTCCGTAACTTCTTTCCATGAGCATCCTTACATTAATTTATCTTAGGATTTAACCCTGTGTGAAGAGACCTGTTTCATCTGGTTAGGGCAGTTCTCCAAAGCTCATATTAGCAAGCCACTCATGGGAAATCTGCAATATTGTTGACTGTGTGGGACACTTTCTGTCCCCAAACCTCTAGCCTGGAGTTTTAAATTAGTCACAGGATCCATGGCCCTTATGCAGGAAAAAAAATATTTACTGGTAATCTGATTATCCTGTCATTTCCAGACAGGTAACAAATAACATATTGATGTTTCAGCATGCTTCATTAGAATGAACACTTCATCATTATAATGCAAAGAGAATGTTTTTGTAATGGATCCAGCACTTAAAGCTTCAGTTTTCTTA